TCATAATATGAGCGTGAGATGACAGACATGTTTTGGATGCTAGCGCTGCAGTGGTGAAGCCAAACTTAAATTTGGCTTAAGTCTGATGGCAAAACCTAACTGTAGAAGTTCTAGAATATTGTTAATGGACTTTCCTATTTATTTGTTTATTTACTTAATTTATACCCCGCCTTTCTCAACCTTGCAGGGGGACTCAAGGCAGCTAGTCAAAGAAAGAAGTTTCTTTTGAAATAATTCAATATCTTTCCTAGCTTGGGCAGTGATAGTTGATATTAGTCCATCTCTCAAACACTATATTAATAGGTCAACCACACACACAATCTCAAAATGTATAAAATGACCCCAGGAAAGCAAGTGATGGAGTCAAGGTCCAAAATCTGGAAACAACTAGTTATGGCAATTAAAGTAGTTATAATTCCTATAAAAACAATTTAGCTGTAATTATATTACATTATAACTGTATCTGAGTGAAGAATAATACCACTAATTTAGTGGTGTACCTGTTAATTTAAATATTACTTATGTTGGTCTGGTATATGGTCTCACTAAGTGTTACAGCAGAAATATCACCCAATTCAAGTGACACGGGAGATACCTCATACTTTGTATTGTCGAAGGCTTTCATGCCCAGAATCACTGGGTTGCTGTAAGTTTTTTGGGCTGTATGGCCATGTTCAAGAAGCATTCTCTTCTGACGTTTCGCCTGCATCTATGGCAGGCATCCTCAGAGGTTGTGAGGTGTCTGCATGACCTCACAACTTCCGAGGAGGCCTGCCATAGATGCAGGTGAAACGTCAGGAGAGAATGCTTCTGGAACATGGCTACACAGCCCAAAAACCTTACGGCAACTCACAACATGCTTTGCTGTAAGTGTTGAGAGCACAATGATGTGGAAAAGAGAATGTGTTTTCTACAGCAGATCAAGAGATAGTAGCTTTTAGATTATCCCCCCTTCCCAGAAAAAAAATTCTGAACAGATAACTTGTTACATTTCCTTTTATTTGCAGCTGTAACATAAATAACTTTAAATATAAAAAGGTTTTTAAAATGGTATGTCCTTGTTCTGATGAGGTCCTTGAGGTGTTATGTGCCTATACTTTCCTTTCTGTCACAGCTGAGAAGAGAGCCATGAACCAATTCTAATAGGGCACAGATGAGGGAAGCCTGGCCCACAGTGTTATGCAAATAACCCCTACTGCCAGACCTCAAATCGGCAGCATATCTCTGATGGGGGGGGGGGGGATATTCCCTGTGAATGCAGCAGCCTTTGAGAGCTGCAACAAGAGGAGGAGCACATGAGTAGCTGAGGTAACTGTTGGAATTCCAAGAATTCTGATCACTGTGCCTTCCTTTTTGATGCCACAATTATCCAAATTAGGAACCAATTTCATCTCAATCTGCGGCACAGGACTTGAGGGAGAAAAGAAACTGGGCTGATTTGTTCTTTCTGCCTATTATTAAGGGTGACAACTGCATTGCCTCTATTTTAATAAAATGGCAGTACTCTGTTAAAAGATAATAAAACTGTTGTCTCCAGACGCTGCCCATTTGTGGACTTTGGGAGTTATTTAAAGATATCGTCAAGAGCTATTTCAAACTGCATTTGCAATCCTTATAATACAAAGACTAAAGCTAAATCTCTGCAGGAACTTATACAACAAATTAAGTTGTCATAGTCACAATCAGAATAAACTTTTAAAAAGTGAAGGCTATTTGGAAGGAAATGATGCCTTCAAGGGAAGAATCTTCTTCCCTGCAAGACTAGCTCCTGAAATGCTTACAGCTGAGATCTGTGTGGAACCCAGACACCGCTGCCATGTAAAGTTTAGTCTTAGGAGAATAAAGACCTTGTCACATTGGGGTCCTTGTCACACTGGGGTCCTATGGCAAGCGATAGCGGGGGTGGGTGGGTGTCTTAATGTAGCATGGCGAATCCGGCGGCCAGTGGGGGGAAACAGTTGTCCCACATCACTCCTTACCTTATCCCATGGGGGGAAGCATCTCCATCTAGCTTCCGTCCCCACCCCAATTCTTCTCAAATGCAGTTTGAAATAGCACGCTGCCAGAACACTTTCTCTATGGAGCCCTGCCAGAAGTAGTCTTATGTCGTATGATAGGAACCATCAGGCTCAATTTCCTAGAATGCTTCCCGAAGCCTGTGTGATGAAGTGGTAAGATTTCTGGAAACAACATCCTGATCTTTCAAGGTCCTGGAATATGTATGTCCCCCATCACATAGCAGTTGAGGTTTTTTTAGCAACAGTGAAAAGCAACATCAAAATTATCTGAAGCCTCTATCTAACTGTGTGTCTTAAACCATACCAACAAGTGCAACAAAAAGTTGTGCCTTACAGCAATACAGAGATCAGACAGGTCTCACTTCGGGGGGAGGCCACACACCCTCCCCAAACCTCAGGATTTTCATGGTAGGGTGGCTACATAGAGCAATCCCCCAGCCCCCCATTCCCCCAAAAAACTTACCTGAGGGGCCTGTCGGCAG